ATAAGCATCATACAAAATGCAGAGGTGACTAGAGAGTGGAAAATGATAGAACAAACAAGCTGTTTGCATGAGGTTTCTGACGTTGATGTCGAATAAAATATACATAAAAAGATTATGAAGATGAAAGACACCAGCAGATAAAAGCAAAGCTTATTCAAAATATGTGCTAGTGAGTATGTTACATACATACACGTTCAGACACACACTACACGCACATACAAATCTACTCTCTCTGTGAGCAAGTATTTAGAGAAAAGGTGTAAACAACTCCAGGATTTTTGGAGCACTCAAGTCCAACCACCGACATGAAGAACAAATATAAAGAAGAGGGTAGATGTAGTTAACATTCAACAAGTAACTGCTCTGTGCTGGACAGTAGACCTCACTGACTTTCATGACAGAGGCTACAAAGCATTTATCTTAGCAACTTTATGAGGATATGTGATTATTCCCATTTCCCAGAAGACACTTCGGCCCAAAGCCATTGTTAGCTGTTGAGTCAGGTGTTTAGTCTGCATCCAAAGCTTACTTTCCTTCATAACTTATAATGGCACAGAAATCCTCAATCCATCATATTACTCTATTCTAACTTGTAACAGATATATCCAGACAGAGATCAGTTTATTATATAAAGGAAGAAGCTAATTCTCAGAAAACTAATAAAATTATCTAATACACACTAAGTAATAGGTGGGTGTGAATTCAGATATTCTTTTTTATCTTTTATGTATTTATTTAGTACAGGGTTTACTACACAGCTTGAACTCTTTTTGACCCTCGTGTCTCAGCCTCTTTGGTGCTGTGATTACAGAATTCAGATATTCTTTTTTATCTTTTATGTATTTATTTAGTACAGGGCTTGCTACGCAACTTGGACTCTTTGTGATCCTCCTGTCTCAGCCTCTCTAGTGCTGTGATTACAAGTGTAATTATGCTTATTCATAAATCAACTCTTAGTTATCCTTTTATAATGCAACTCTTGACTCAATATCAGCCTTTTACCATTGAAGCTCTTTGGTCACATGGTTCAATAAACAAGTACTAGGTTGCATACATCTCTGTTCAAATCAAAGCTGTAACATTTACCAGCTATTTCATAAAATTAATTAGTTCTTCCTTGGATTAATTAGTTTCTCTGACATTCACTTCATTAGACTTTTTGTGAGAATTAAATAATTGAATGTTACTGGGCAGCAAACAATCTCAGCAAACGGGCAATGAGGTCCTTCAGAAATGAACCATAAAATAAGGATGTGCTATCCCAGAGAAGAAAGAAGAGGTTGTGGGGAGGGAACAGAAAATGGCAAGGACCACAACTAAAGAGCACTTTCAGAATTTTACCTTCAGACAGATGCTTCTGGAGAAGACCAAAGTATAAGTTACACCTCGCTCTGCCATTTCCCATAAACTCTAAGTCAAAGAAGACAAGAACTTCACGCTCATGCGCCACTCAGGCATTTGTGAAGAACCCTAGCAGGGATGGGAAGGGACAAGGGGCTCAGGTTTCATGGGCTGGAAGTTAAGCTACTGGAGCATCCTAAGAGCAAAGTGGAAGGCAAGTGGGGAGGAGTTGAGGCAGTAGGGGACCCTAAGTTATCTAGGTGGAACAGGCAGTGTCTACTGCTGTGCAATTATTCTTCGTTAAGAAATAATAAAAAGTGATAGATAATAGTGAGAGTAGGAAGTTTCCTTCATGTTTCCCTTTCTCCAGAAATTCTCCATGAGTTCAGATTTGGAACCAGAACAAGGCCAGAAAATAGTCATCAGTATCAAGGAAAATGTACATTCCAGGTCTTGAGCAACAGTGGAAATGCTATGATGACAGTATTATGAAGCCACGTGAAGCATCTCTTTCAGAATTGTACGAGCCAGGGGACAGACTGCAGATTCTTCGATATATTGGAAGTGAGGGGCACTGAGACCACATAGCGAGTGGAAGCCGGGAGGAACACCTCTTTCATCAAAGAAATAAATTTGTGGGCCCAGAATCATTTAAGCTTTCTTTCTAAAATTTCTTCAGCCCATTACTTAATATAATATTATATAATCAAGGTCTTAATTACATACACAAGAAATAAACAAAGAGATATATATGCATCTTGGAGACTCCAAAGGAGATCTAGATTATCTTCCTACATTAATAGTGCTAAACAAATAGATCTCCAGCAAAGGAAGAAATGAGTAGTGAACATTACTTGATGAAAAAAATATGTCTGAAATTTTCTGGTTCCAACTGTTTAATAACTTTTATAAAATTTGTCTTTTTATGTACTTAGTACAGGGTCTACAGTGCCTTGATACACAGAATCAGACTCATAGTGATACTTCTGTTTACAGCCTTCCAAGCACTAGGGTTACAGGCATGTGCCACCACCCACAGTCTCAGTCACCACCTCAGTGCACCCCAGGGGTGAAACAGGCACAGAAGGTGCAGAGATCGAAGTCCCGGGCCCTGCATCTGCCTAAGCATGTGATTGGCTGAGCTTTCTGGCTGGCCCTATAAAATTTATCTTATTGCCTCTGTTTTATATTTTACTTTGAGCAGGAAATACTATATTTTCAAGTCGTTTAATAGTTCATTGGGTAAATCTAAGCAGGTGAAAGCATTTTTTACTGAAATTGTCAATTCAGAAATTTAATATAGCATGATAAAAGCAAATCTGGATAGGAGAAAACGGTGAAGCAGTGATTAGCAATAAAATTCAGCCTTAAGATGATCCATAATGTGGATACTGGGAAAATAATAACCTGGTTTAAGAGGGAAAAATACATTGCCAAGAAGCAGGAAGGAAATACTTAAAGATTATGGAGAAGCTAGAGAAATGGACCACCATACACAGAAAAGAAAACACCACTCTGGAAGCTCACCCCAGCTCTCAGGAGAGAGAGGCTGCCTCTGCAGGTACAAGGTGAATGCCCCAGCCCAGCAGCTCCAAAGTAGCAGACAGGAGCCTCGGACTCTGGAGGACTGCACAGCTAATGTGAACAGCTGGGGATTTTCTCTGAGGTGACTCCACACAGTAGGCAACATCAGAAAGCAAGTCCAGTGAGGTACCTCCCATTTAATCAGATGGTGCCATTTTGGAAAGTGGTTGATTATTTGGCTCTGGGACTCAGAACTGCTAGAGATTTACTGCACTTCAGGGTTCCCAGGGTGTCCTCCTACAGTGACTGGTTGAGAGACAGTCATAGAGAGTCAAGGAGAGGGAGCAGAATAGACAGAGAATGCATCAGAAGTTTAAACTCATGCCAGAAGGGAAATGGATCCCGCCGTCTGTGGTGAGAAGCTGGACCCAGACTGTGGTACATGTAGAAATGGTGGCTTTGAGTAGCTTAGCCCTTGCCCTGCAGGCCACATCCTAGCACAGACCTGAGGTCTGATTGCCTTCCCTATCTCCCTATCTGAGAGAGGGTGCATATGGGCTTGGATGCTTACCACAGCCTGGGGGATACAGACAGGCCTCTGTAATGGGGGTGGATACCTCCTAAGCCCACAGGTAAATGTATAAGTCTAGGTAGTAAAAGTGTGACTTCCAGAGGCCTGCCCCTTAGCTCAGTTTTTTTTTTCTTTTTTTGAGAGGTTTAGAAATTTATTTATTTATTTTTGACAGTTTCAAAACCAATTGATAGGACAGAATCAATAATTAATACATTGCATATTGTTATCTTCTTAGTGGTTATTCATAGTACAAGATGCAGACATGATATCCTGTCCAAATACTATCAGCACAAATCTTTCTTCTCATTGAATTAAGCGAAAGTAACTGTATATCTATCTTAAGTATTTTGTATATACAAATACAAAGTGGTCCTTCCTTTGTATCCCCTGTTTTTGTTTAGTTTTGTTAGAGATGGGCATTCCACTGCCATTTAAGTATTGTAGGTGCTTGTATTCAGCAAAAATAGTCCAGTAGCCCATAATAGTAGTGGTTATCTGTAGGACTGACATTGTCAGAAGTTGTTGACTTGAGCCTTTCACAGCTCAGCATATTAATATGGCTTTACTTCTTATACCTCATTTTTATACTTTTCTGCTGGATGGTTAAGACTAAGATAAAGCAGGACCTGTATAACAAGAAATGGAACTTTTGTGTCTGATAAGGTCAGTCAAGTCCCCTCAGGATTTATTCTGTAACATTTATTCTGTAACATCCTTTGTCAGTGTCAGCCATGTGGATGAGTTATGGCCATTGCTTGACCAGTTTGCTTTCTGTGAAAGCATAGCAGTTAATTGGAAAGATTCTCACCCTGACTAACTATATACACTGATACCTGTGAACTAAGCTGCTGCACTGCAGATGGTAATCTGTAATAGTAGTTTCATGCTTGGAGTGCCTGTCATTCTGGTCTTCTGAATACGGGCTGCTTTTCATGACATGCCAGTTGTTGCTATGATGTCTCTCAGGTAGATGGTTGTTCAAAAAGAAGGGGGAGGTGAATGAAAGCGAGAGACAGGAAAAGGAATATTGTGGGACTGTCAGTTCTTTAAGTGGCTGCTTCCACAAAGCAGTCAGGCTCAGGTTGCTGTGGTTTGATCCCCACAATTCAAGCCAGCCAAACCTGCCCTGAAGGCATTCGGAGCAAAAAAAAAAAATCCTTCTACCTTGGGGGCCTGCCCCTTAGCTCAGTTCTTTTTTTTATTTATTTTTTCACATAAATCAAGCATTTTATTCAATTGTATCAAGAAAGTATCTTTACAATAAAACTATCAAATGACAAAAAAAAGTATCTTTAATACTAAACAATTCAGACATATTCAAAATACTGCTTTGGCAGTTTCTAAATTATTCAAAATGCCCTCTTTCACCCTAAGTTTGGTGACTCACGGCAACATGCTGTGGAAGACTTTACCCTGTTACCACTCTGGTTTTCTTGATTACCTTGCCCTGTTTCCATGAGCCATCATGGAAAGCCCAGAGTTCTGCTTCCTAGAAACATTTGAACACTCATTAGAACAGTTTGCCTCATAATCTGGCCTCCTCCAAGTTTTAAACAGCGAAGAATGTTACTTGTGCCAGTCAGAATCTGATACCAATTAAATGGCGACAGCTTTGCCAATAAACAAGAATATGCTCTTCCATGGCTAGGATGGGAGACTGCCACAACCGACAGGTCCCAAAGACACATGGAGAAGTTCAGTTCTTTAAGTGGCTGCTTCAACAAAGCAGTCAGGCTCTGGTTGCTGTGGTTCGATCTCCACAACTCAAGCCAGGCAAACCTGCCCTGAAGGCATTTGGAGAAAAAAAAAAAAAAATCCTTCTGCCTTTTTAAGGAGATACAGATGAATGTCCATTTTGTATCTGTGTATTCAAAGTGGTTAGGATAGATATATAGTTACATTCTCTTAATGAATAGAGGGATTTGTTCTAATGGTGTTTGTAGATAGGATATCATGTCCGCATCTTGTACAGCAATTAACTACTAGGAAGAATGTATGTAATGTGTTAATTATTGAAACTGTCTTACCAATTTGATTTGAAACTGTCTCATTGCTATTTGTTTCTCAATAAAATTACAGAAAAAAAATTTAAAAAAATAAAAAAGTTTGACTTCCTGGATTCCAGAACAACAGATCCTGAAAAGAAAGCACTCACTCAAAAACCAGAGAAAATATGTTTTTCTTCATTTTGTTATGTTTTTGGAAACTTGTTTTTCCATTTTTCTTTCTTCTTCATTGATATTTTGAAGTTTGGGGCATTAGTCTTTCTCTGTCTTCTCTGTTTTCACTTTCATTTTTTCCTTTATTATTTTCCTGTTTATTTATTTTTTTTCTTATTCTGCATATTTTTTCTTTTGTTTCCCCATCATTCTAATCTTCTTTTTGTAGTTTGGTTTTTTCCTACTACCTTTATCTATTTCAAAAAATGAACTTTTAGTACTTGTAGCATCTTTTGACTGACTTTTCTCCCCTCATCTCTCACTGTTTCGTTTTACAAATTTTCCTCTTTTAGCCACCCACATACAACCTCATACATATTTACTAGTATTCCCACTGAGATTTTTACACCTTTAGACAATTAGTTGGCTGTTATTGCTGTGAACTCTATTCTATTGTTAGTAAAGGAATCACTGTTGCATTTAGTAGATATATCCTATATATCAATATTTGGTTTGTCTTAGTGTTTATACTATAATTACTAATATCTTTTTGTATGAGCAAAGGTGGTACATTGCAGGTTCTTTTAGTATAGTAATATTCAGTTTGTCTTGGACAATATTATTGCTGCTGATTTACTTGTTATTGCCAGAGACATGAAGCTGATGTATTAATACACTTGCAAGGTATATAGATGTCCGGATTAACTTTGGGCCATTAACAGTCCTGAAAGCCATTTCTAAAGAACTGGATGCTGGGCCAATTACACTGCATCCTCGCTCCCAAAATTAACACAGGTGGTTAGCTCTTGCTCCAGAGTCAAAGGAATATAGTTAGCTATGCACAGAGTCCATCACTGAAAAACTGACACTAGTTGAAGAGAGCTCGATGCTAGTAACAAAATCTTTGCATGATAATTATACACAGACTTTAGTACCAAACAAAATAAACAAACAGAAACATGAGGAGAAAAAACGATAAAATGTTTCCCAAAACTAATAAATCCACCAATACGGATCCATGGAGTGTTAAGAAGGGAGGAGTGAAAGTCTGCATAAACAAATTAGTCAAAAATTATAGACAAAAACAGATCAGTAAGGTTCCCAGTGGACTCACAGAGTGTATAACTGAGCAAATAGCAGATGTAACACAGAAAAACATCAGTGAGCTTTTAAAGACATAAATAATAAAAAGTCCTCCCTGAACTAAATACAGTGATACAAAACATGAATGAAAAATACTTTAACAATGAAAAAACAGCATGAAAATGGATCCAACAACTGCTAGATAATGCAAAGATAGCTAATCTAAGACTAACCAGAATAAGTAAAATATCACAAGATAAAACAAAGGGGACAAAATAAAATGTTATTACAGAGAGAATAGCAGAAAACATTACAAATGGAAAAATTAAACATAAAGAGAAGTGAGGGATATAGAACTTCAAGTGCCAAAAAATAAAAAAGACAAGCTTACCATGCTACAATATAGTCCAAATCTTAAAAGTCCAACATAAGAACAGAAACTTAAGAGCTGTTAGGTAAAAGCAATAACACATAAAAGGCAAAACCATTACAACTATAGCATTCCTAGCAATATAAATGTTAATGTTCAGCAGATTTTGGAGTGAAATGTATCAAGCTCTAAAATAAAACAACTTCCATCCCACACTGGTATATACTGAAATAATACCTTTCAAAATTGATGAAGAAATAAGGCATTTCCATGACAAAGAGTCCCTCAAGGAATTGATGACCACCAAACAAGCCCTTCAGATATTCTCAAGGATATTCTACCAAAAGACAGTGATACCAATAGGGATAATAAGTGAAATAAAATAAATATACCAGACAATGTGAATAATTAAGCATTATAAAAATTATCAGAAACAGGAAAATAACGCAATGACCAGAAAAAGCCAACACATTTCTGTAATGATTGTCACTGTGAATCATGTCATTCCCCTATCAGAAGACACACATTGGTAGAATTGATCAAAAACAAACCTAAAGAGTATGCTATATACAAGAAACACATTTAATACAAAAATAAAGTAACAGTTTAAAAATCACAGAATGAATTCCATGCAACAGGAACCCAGATAAAAGCAGGAGTGACAATCCTAATTTCAGACAAAGGGGATGCCAAGCTAAAATTCATCAAGGAATGTCATCACATATTGGTGATGATATTCAACAGGAAGCAATAACAGCCATAAAGATATATGCACAAATAATGCTGCTACTATCTTCATAAAATACACATATTTCCCTCAGGAGCACATGGAGTTTTTTCCAAAATAGGTCACATGTTATCCTATAACTCATGTTGAAGTAAATGCAAAAGATTCAAAGTTATCACAGGTATGTTGTCAGATCATAGTGCAATGAAATTAAAACCCAAGGCAAAAGAGACCACAGAAATTATGTAAACAAATTGAAATTAAACAATACCAGGTTGAATAATTAGTGGGTCAAAGAAGAAATCAAGGAAGCAATTAGACAGTTGCAACAATCAAATGACAATTCCAGCATAGCATACTAGAATCTATGAGACACAATGAAAGAATTCCTAAGAAGGAAGATCGTGGTTGTAAATTTTGACATGAGAAAAAGAGTGAACACAAAGAAATAACCTGGGGTTGGGGAGATAGGTCAGTAGAATAAGCACTTGCCTGGCAAGTGCAAGGTCCTGAGTTAAATCCCCAGCACTACAAAAAAAAAAAAAAAAAAAAAAAAAAAAAAAAAAAAAAAGAAAAAGAAAAAGAAAAGAAAAGAAAAAGAAAAAGAAAAAGAAAAAGAAAAAGAAAAAGAAAAAGAAAGAAATTTTCTAATGATTCACTTCAGAGTCCATTCATGACAGCAGCTGACATTTTAAATGGTGAGAAGTTGAAAGCTTTCCCTCTATTATCTGGAATAAGATAAGGATGGTTGTTATCACCACTCATTTCAAATATATTTCTCAACACACTTGTCAGAGAAATCAGGCAAAAGACAGCAATAAAAGAGATATATGTAGGAAAGGGAGAGGTTAAATTCTTTTCAGATGGCATTTTCCTCTACACAGAAGACCCAAAATTTCTTCCAAAGGCTGTTAGAATCAATAACCCAAAGTCAGCAATGTAGCAAGATATAAAGTAAATACACAAATGTCTATAACATTCCTGTATTTCAATAGTAAGCTTAATAATGAAATTAGAAAAATAATACTATCCATAGCAACAGCAAGATAAAAGTTAAATACTTTGGAATTAACTTAACCGAAGAAATGGAAGATCTTTATGATGAAAGACTACAATATTATAAAAAGGGAGATTGAATAGGATATCAAAAAACGGAAAGATATTTTCTATTTCTGGATAGACAGAATCAATATAGTCAAAATGGTCTTATTTACAAAACTGATACTCATATCTAACACAATCCCAAGCCAAATACCAATTCCATTTCTCACAGAACTAAGGAAACCAATCTTACAATTCATATGGAATAAGAAGAAACCTAGAATAAGAAAAGCAAACACAACAGGAAGCATAACAATCCTAGACTTCTAGTTACATTACAAAACTACAATTATTAAACAGAATGCTATTGACAAAAAATCATGAATAAGCTGCATCAATAGAACATAAGAGAAATACAGAAACATCTCCAGTTACATGTATTTATTTGCTTTTCTTTCTTTCTTTCTTTCTTTCTTTCTTTCTTTCTTTCTTTCTTTCTTTCTTTCTTTCTTTCTTTCTTTCTCTTTCTTTCTTTCTTTCTTTTTTTTTTTTCCTTTAGCAGAACCAGGGATTGAACTCAGGCCCTTACACTTGCCAAGGAAGCACTTATTCCACTGAGCCATGTCCCTGGCTCCTTGGTTTTCAACAAAAATCCCCAAGAATCTTATGTGGGTTGAAAAATAGCCTCTTTAATAGTGTTTCAAAACACAGCTATTTACATGCAAAAGATTCAATCTAGATTGAAGTCTCTAATGGGTGATACGTTGTGTCAACTTGAGAAGTTTAAAAGTCTAACTCAGCAACTCAGCAGGAGGGTGGAGTCCTCACTTCCCAAACATCCTGCATCTGTGCAACAGGAGGTTATGGAGCTGGTATGAGTACTACACCCATGTGAAGGCAGACAGCCCGTGTACAATATAAGGGAGGGAAATATGTTTGCTTTATCACTCCTGCTTTGTTGCTTGTCTTCTACTACCTTGAAGTGTTACTCTCCTACCATGCCACCCTGCCTTGGAGGCAGCTGACTATGGACCAAAACCTCTACAGACTGTGAGCTAAATAAATCTTTTCTCTCTTAATTTTGAGAGGCAGGTATTTTGTCTCAGCAACGAAAATAACCAAACAATATCTCTCAGCAGATACTAAACGAAAATCAAAATAGATCAATGATCTAAATGTTAAAACATAAAAATTAATCTATAAAAAGATAAAATAGGCAAAACTCTTGCATATATATGCATAGGTGGGGACTCTTTGAATGAAACCATAATTGCACAAGAAATAATATGAGAACAACAAATGGAATTGTGTG